CTTCTCCATATTAAGTGATTTAACTACAGTAAGCGAAACCTGCAGTTTTTTCCAGTTGACCGTGTCCTTTTAACACACAAATTGTAACATAAACCTTATGCAGAACTAGATCTTCAAATTATTGAAGCCAGCTGATTTTCAAGTAGTATTTGTTCAAATGTTTTTATTATACACTAGTCCAGATACAAGCAGGGTCTAAGGGAGTGACTGTACATTATTCGGACCTTCAAGCACCTATCATTCAGATCAACCACTCATGTTTTTGTTTTTATATTCACTCATTCACAAAAGCAACCAACTAGTTTCAACATTTTATTAAATGGTTGTTTCATATACATAGTTTTTTCTCAACAGTAACATAATCCAGATCGACAGCTATGAAATAATTTCCATTAACATTCACAGAAAACTTTACATATACTTGACTAATTTGTTTGAACCCAAACGGTTTACAAAACACACCCAAAACCCATAAAACAGTAGGAATAGACCAAAATTCAAATATGGCATTTAATACATCGTCATAATAAAACAGAAAACTGTTCACACATTGCCTCCATGCTAAGCCAATCCGCACTGAAGAGGTCAGTAACAGTTTTGAGCTGCTTTCTGGTATGTTCCTGTATTTCTCTGAAATACTTAAATTTTCTTGAAAGCTTAAATATGTACACCACTTGGACAGTTTTTCACATTTTTGAGTAAAACCTTACATGAGCTTACAGAACCAAGGACACATATAGGGACAGCACTAATGGTGACCAATTTCTTTTGGTGGCTACCTTCCAAATTTTTTTTTTTTTTGCCAAATGTACACAATTTAATTTCTGCAGTGAGAGGGAAGAAGTTACCAGTGGGAAGAGATTTTATTGGAAATGAACCCCAGTCTTTACTTTCAGAAGAAAGAACTAGTTCCTCTGCGTTAGGCCCTGCCTTCTCTAATCTTTGTAACTTTAAAGACTAGCAATGGAATTGGCTAGCACCACGCCTTCTCAAAGTGCAATCACTAGTGCTTTCCCAGACAAAATGACACATTGTTGAGCAAAAAATGCAAGCAGTTCCATAGCAAAACATGGTGTTACAACAGTTTCAGAAGGTCACATCTGCTAGTATGCCACACATACACATTGGTATATTCCTATAAACAATTTGGAACATTTACACAACTTGCACAGTCTGCGTTCAAACAAATTAGGTTGTGGTGTCCACTGCATATATACCACAATTTATGAAATTGTGCAGCATTCAAAGAATGGATCTGTAACTGTAATGACTAGAAACTCAAGAATGGCCATGCAATTGTCCATGTTACAGAAAGGCTTCTATTTTGGCTGTTGCAAACCCCCATGGAATGTCCATAACTTACAGCCAATTTAATTCTTCTGTAAAAATTGTGTTAGTTTCCAATGCAAAATTAACGAAACGTATGAAAAACGGTAAACAGCTTCTGAAGTGCTTCTTCTTTGTGTCTTGAAGACGAGTAATACTGCAACATTATGTTGAGGCTGATAAGGTACTCCCCTTCTATCTTCCCAAACTGGGAACTACTCTTTACAGGATAGTATCAAAATATACACACATTTTAAAGTTAAAAATCAATACTTTAAAGTATTAAAAATTAATTTAAGGTTTTGTTTAAATTACAACAGTTATCCAGCTATAGTTCACAATATAAATTTAAAAAAAGGAAGCAAACACTTTTTTTTTTTAAGTATTTGACAAGAATATATATATACCTTAGTAAGCTGGGCCAGAGAAATAGATGCAGAAGAGTCATCAATCTGTTCACAAAAAATTAAACACATATTCAAGTTCTACAGTCAAAACATAGCAATAATTAACCTCTACTGTAGTCTGAAAGTCTACACTATATTCTCTAAGTGTCACTGAAAGAGGCATTTCCAACCCAGTGCATTTTGTATTTATTCAAAGTCCAAACCTATGATAACTGAAGAGTGCCTACGTGGTTAATGAGAAGAAACTAAAATAACCAAACCCACTTAGATCATCTTATTGCTCCAAAGTATCTCAGAGAGCGACCCTTGTCAAATGCTCACAACGGCTTAAAAGTTGAAAGGGCAAGGAGGCTGCCAATTTTCAGCTAAAAAGGATTTTAAAAAAATATTTATGTTACTTTGAGAAGGAAGTATCACTACAGGAAACCTATTTTCACTGTAGTTTGGAATCAGTTAATGTCTCATCATTTATAAATGATGCTGTTATGCTTTATGAACACAGCAGCTGTCTGCCAGAATAAAGCACAGGTGTATCAGCCCTGAAAAACACTCTGCCCCTCCTGTCAGTACCTTTAAAAATGCGAAACTCACCATACCCCACAAACCCCAAATAAAAACACCAATCCAAAGCATCAGACATAAAAGTAACCCACCACTTTGCCTAGAAAAAAAAAAAAACACCTGCTTAAATTATTTATCTAAAAGCTATTTATCATGACCGAGTAGCCTATAAAAATTGAGAAAACCAACTTCTTCTATTTTATTAGACCACAGGCCATACTATCCAAATTAGTTTGGGAAGTGTGAGAATTTAATATTTTCCTTGCTATCAGATGAAAACCAAGTTTTAATAGCAGCTCAATACTAAATGAACAAAAGCAAGCGCAAGCATACTCTTGCTGATGAAAACATGGATTCAGAGTGCAATCCTGTAAATTTTTCTCCACTGTAGCCACACTCCTCCTTCTCCAGCTACCTACTGGAACAGCTTGCAGGAATGAAGCCCTCTGGCCCCTAGTTAGTAACGGACTGCAGTGTTTAGTGAGAATTACTACTGAAGTGCAGTTTTTCCACAAGTAAAAAGGCTAACTCTTATGTAGTTCCTTTTCTAGTATACTGAATTATGTCATGAGCAGCAGTTAAGCTTAGACTAGCAAAACGTTACCAGCAAAACACTCAAATCCCTGCTTATTATGACTTAAGTTGCTCAAAAATGTAGAATAATATTTCACAATGTAAACCAAACAGGTCTCCTCAAGAGGTCACTAAATTGAATGGAAGAGATTAAAACCCTTCCTCATAAAAAGCTCTTGCCCTTTATTACCTAAATGTAGTGAAAGAATTCAACGGACAAGTTTCAACAGACTCTGGGGGAAAAAATATCTCCATGCAGAAGAGGGTTCCTCACTCCTTCTCTATGTGTTTAGGAATGCACATCCAGCATTGCTGTATTACTGAAAGCTCTTGAAAACGTGCCTTTGGAGACAAACACCCAGATCGGGAAAAGGAGACCTTCTTTCTGTTGCAAGTCTTAACGAGAAGATTGATTCTTCCTTCTTTTCAAAGCATTTTATACCTTATTATGGTAAAAAGGAAGCCTGATCAAGTATTTTGAAGCTTTGTGCTCCATAGGCCACTCTTTTTTGTATGTGGAAGAACAAGGCTGTGTTCTCTCAGGACAGGCACCACCACTATCATTCTGTGTTTCTTCAGAAGCAAAGAAGAAATCAGCAAAACTGTCTACTGGAGTCTAGTATTAAACAGTCTAGTATTGACCAGTAACTGAAGCAGTTAATATTCTATTAATTAGCTCTTGTATTTTTTTTTCAGAAAGCAGTTATTATATGGCCTGCAGGCAAGAGTCTAATTTCTTAAAGGAGGCGATAGTACTCTTTCTACTAAATAGTTATCAAGAGCAGCAAATAGATAATTAATGTACTGTTTAGTACATTTGCCCAATAGCCATCTTCCAATGATCCTACATTCTTGTGTCTCTTGTCTTCCTTTACATTTCTACTTAAGTATTTCCTGCCAGTCCCTCAAATCAGTCAAGTAGAAACGACATCTCCATGAAACCTGTATACAACCCTAAGACAGTACTGCAGAATTGAAAAAAAACCCCCACAAATAAAAAAACCCCAAACCCAGAATCAACAGTCAATGTATTAACTCCCATTTAATGAAGACGACTAAACAGAAACTAACATCAAGCAAGTGGGAAAGGGGCCAGAAAATAGGAGGAAAAGGCTGATGTCACTGCTGGAGTGCTACAGTTCAACTGCAGGGGTTTCCTGAAGCCTGATAGCCTGGCTAAACTGAAAATTCATCCAGGAAGGATGACAATTGTGCTTGACAGTGCTAAAACTATCAGCATGACTCTCCACACTTCTGCGGCCTCTAAGGACAAACGCCAACTGGATATCCTTGCAGTTACTGAAACAGCAATGCTGAGAAAGAAAGAATCCACTTCCTTCATTTGGCTGTAATAACAGCAGGACAACAGCACAAATTTGCAAGTGTAGAATGACAGCTAACATAAGAGCAAGCCAATGAAGAAACAAAGTATAAGCTTTTGTGCATCCTTTTAAAAAAAACCCCAATTTTAATTTTGCTGCTTTTACTGTTCAACAATAACTGGCAAGCTTTCCAACGATGTATTCCTTCCACAGTTAAGATCCAGGTTCTGCTTTGAAATATAGACAGAAATATGTGTATCTAAAAAACCCCACCAAAACCAACCCCCCCCACTTTAGACAGAGACCTGAGTTAGCTTTAAGACCACCGCTAGTAGTGTCTCCAACCCTACAAGCACCTGAGGCTGCAGTGCTGCTACAGGAGAGTGAGCTGGTGAAGAGAGAGGCAAGGCTTCCACCCTCCCTATGGCTACACACAACCCACAGCAGGCACAGTCACAGCAAACAAGAAGGGAACGGTTTTGCTTTGTCCTTCATTTACTTTAACTAATTCTAACACTAAGTCTTCCCTCCCACTCCAGGATATTTCCTAATTTATTTTTTTTTTAAAGACATCTATGTTAGCTCATGGTGAGATGCTACTTAGAAATGTAATACAGACATGCCAGGGAACACACGAGGCTAAAAGAATGTTAACTTTATTTATGAACATGTGATTTGTGTTTATACACATGCTAGTAAACAAAAAGAAAAATAACTTTTCAAGAAATAAAAACCCATCTGAATTAGATCAAATACTATAAACGTGGTTCACATAAATGCATTACATTAACTACTAGGGTCACTGGGCCAGTCAAACTAACTCAAACTCACAATGAGAGGCACTCATGTCCAAAAAGGAATTCAGATCAATCAGCAACAGAATTACGGATGTCACATTTAGACTTAGTGTTTTTAGACCTACACACAAAAAGTTTTCAATTTTAAGTTGATTATACACCACTCCACAAGAATCAGAGGCTGCATTCTTCGCAGAACACAGACCCAGAGTTCATTAACTTCTAGATAAAATTATCCTAACAGCTTATTGAGTGATCAGATCCAATGATCCAGGGTTAGTGTAATGCCTCACACCATACTAGTGAAGAAAAAGCAGTTATACTTAAAATAAAGATGAAAAATAAAACACACCAAATAGTATTTTTTGTACTATAAGGACTATTTTGAAATGTGTAGTTACACACGGTATTTGACCCAAGTCGCAGATCAAGATCTAGATCATTACCAGTCAAGTCTGTTACTTATTTATATTTTAGCAGCAGAAGAAGTGTTTTCAAACCTGGAGAAAAATGCTGCCCCTTTTCCAAATATAAATTCAAAGTGGTGGTATACTAAAGAAAGGCTTAACCTTTGAGAAATTAAAGCAGCATCCAACCCTGAAGTCACCCAGATCCAAACATCCATACTGCAGACGGAAGAAAAATGACAGGGATTTTACCCACAAATGCACCAGGCTCTAACTTCGTGCCAAAATTTGTATCAGGTATTTTCATTTGCAGACAAACTATTAAACTAAACCGCTTCATCAGATAAAGTGGAAAGATCAAATGCAGAACTTTAGAATACCACTCTGTGTAGCAACGATATTTAAATTCACGGCAATCTGTTAAAAGACATTTACGTACTCAGAGGGGCCCAAACAATATCACTTTGATTACACAGTTTTGGGAACAAACACCCAGGTATTTAAGGACATGAAAAGGAATCATTTAGCTGCACAGAACTGTCCTCAAAATGTACGGGAGATGTTGGGTTTGGTATTTGTTTGAACCCCCAAGTGATAAGTCAGGAACAGTACCAAGTTTAACAACAATGGTTTCTCAGCGGTTTTTGATAACATTTTCAAAAACCCTTAGGCAAAAAAAGTATTCAAAAACAAAAGCTAAGTGATACAATGTGAAAATGGCAAAAAATACACTCCAAACAATTTTTATTGCAAGAAACAAAAAGCACACAACAACCTATACAAACATACATATTACTAGCTATAGACAGACAGATGTAGAACATGGCACCATGTTCAATTGTGCAAACCTTGAACCTACTCGATCTGAAGCCGATCATACATGATCTGTACAACACAAAGTCATACAGGAGATATTCTAGCATATTCAATATGAAATACAATGCATCACTAGGCACAAATACCAATATTCACATTAGAACTGTGCAAATGATGGCATTACTCAGTTTTTACTATGATGAATCAAATACATTGTATTTACAACATACGCTATATTTTACTGGAAAATATATTAAGTTAATGTTTGGAAAATTAATAAGAGGCTACATTGTTTAGAATTAAGTGCAGTGTGTAGAAAAAAGTGTGAGATTGTGTTTTTACATACTGCTTTTGATGTTCCACTCACTGGCTCAGTTCGACTTCTAAAAGAAGAAATAAAGGTGATCAGAATTTAAAATAAAGCATTTGTACCCAACACAAAGCAGTGAAAACAGATTATCAAACCTGAACATCAAAACATTATGTTCTGATAGTCTAGCGAATGTGGAAATTTATTCGCATATATAAACTGTTCTCTCTCGGTACACTCAGTGCAACTAAAAAAAACCCCCAAAAGTCACATTTTTGCTTTGTCACAAGTTACTCTGAAATTTACAGATATAGAACATAACAGTGCAAGAGGAAGTCCTCAGATATTTTGTCTCTGCTATGTAAGCACCAAAAATATGAAGTCTGTACCACAGTTCTGTGTTCTTAAATAACCAACCATCAAAAGATGAAGGCAGCTGTAGCCAACCTGCACACCTAGTACTACAAACAGGTACCAAATACAGTACTTTCGTTTCTAAAAAACAACTGCGATAGTCTAGACACTTCAAAGTGTAAGTTTACTTAAGTGAAAAAAAAAAAAAAATCAGTCATCTGACAAAGGACTAACATAAAAATGTCCGCAGCATAGTGTTTCTTTGTGGAAGCCCAAGCACTGTGTTCAGAGATCTACCATATTGAGCCATGAAAGTGCCAAAATACCAAACTTGTTACATATGCTATATTGACTAAAAATAGTAGTAGAAATGTCACCTGAAAGCAGTTTCTACGATTTTGTGCGATTTAGGAGTCCTGTGACAAAAAAAAAGGTCTTAATTGCCAGAATTTCCTTTAAGATAATCTTGAAATGCTACAATATTTTAGGAAATATGCACTACATTTGAAAACTTGCTGAGATTCCACATACTCACTGATCTGTATCTGCATGCTACTCATCATGAATCAGACATGCAAACACTGACATAGTTAACAAACAATTCACACATCATCCCAAGTGTCCCATGAGCAGAGGCAATTCAAAGGCTGCTGTGGAACTGCTGTACAAATAGAAAGGCTAGTGCTTCCTGCCACTGCTCCAACACCCCCAGACTCGCAATTACAGACACATACCTCCTCAAGAGGAGGAAGCACAAGGAAGTACTTTAGACTACCACACAATGGTTTCTTCATACATCCACCTTGAAGAACATACTCTAAGGTGAGTAACACATTTCTGAAGGCCATTACGCCTTGTACGTTCATCACTCCTGAAAATTAAGCACTCTACCAGTTGCTTCTGCAATTTTTTCCAGCTGAAGGAACAGAAAGCTCAACTGCCTGGTTAATTTTCAATGCTAAAGCAGCATTTCAGTGCCATTCTTATCACCACATACAGGTGGATGCTAGCAGCATCTGTCCTCTCATTTTAGGGCAGCATTACAATAGCAGAGAGGGTGCCATCCAACCAGAAACGGAGGAGCCACTGACCAGACAGCGCTGAGCACACATATTTAAATGAACCCCCCAAAACGAGGCCATGTTTTTTAGCACAACACCATGGTGTTGAGATTACTAGGTAGTGCCTGAAAGCACAGCAACTACTGCAGTTAATATGTCCAAAGTTTACATGCAGAGCCACATAAATTCAGAAGTTTTTTGCTTGCAAATGCTTCATGGGTACCAGGACGCTGCTGTATTGTTTGTTTGAGACACACCAACTCATCAGTCTACTTCATTTATTGAGAATCAGCATGAGAAAGACATGGCAAAACCACAATAATAATATCTACTAATTGTGGTGGAGAGGCGTATCTTCAAGGTGGCTGGAAAACACGACCAGTCCAACAATGCTAACGTGGCTGATAGAGAACTGGATTGTACGAATACATAAATGACAGCAATAATCCTTAGGCAGGATTGCATTTGAATATCTGTAATTTTAATCAATACATCCAATTTTAGTACTCCATAAATCTTAGGAATATAAAATTAAAACCTGGAGCACAGATAACAGCTTAGGGTAAAAAAGACTACGATGATAGCTATTAGCATTTGGTAACGTGCTAAACTGCTTCCCGAGTTTCAAGTTTGGAAAAGATTAAGCATTCCTTCATCGCACTCACACAAAAGGCAATACACTTTAGGATGCTCTCTTTCTCTTGCCTGAAATGGACACTGCCTTCAGGAAGCTAATAGGAATCACTTACGAATGGAACTTCTTGCTTGCCTGATTCATCAGCTGGCAGCCCTTGGCCTTTCCTCTATAACTCGTATGCAAAAACCCCAGATTTGGGGTGTAAGAATACCTGCCATACCCTGCCCCCCTAGTCCCCAATGCAAGAAACAGTCAAACACGGAGAATCGGACTCTTCTCAAATGGGAACAAACTATAAATTTACACTACAATGTGTATCTGCCTTTATTATAAAAGCAAACACATATAATAAGGAATCTCCCTGCATAGACGAGAAAGGATCTACAACTTGGATCTCAAAAAAACAACCCCAAGAACAAACTCAATAGAATCATCTTTCAAGTCACCATTGTTGGAGTTTGAACCCCATGTCCCAGCAGGTGTAAAAATGTAAGGCGGCTTTGGGACAGACACATGAAGACCTACCCCATTACAAGAAAAACTAACAGCAGGTTTAACAGGAAGCATACAATCTGAATGCCTCTGTAGCCTAATATCGACAAAAGAAGTTAACAGACACAGAATACAATGCTTTCTGGACACTTACATAACGTATGTTTTGCTGGTAGCTTTAACTCCTCCAATAGGGATTCTTCTAACAATTACTGACGAATTCTTAGGAATCAGGGCGGTATCATCTGTGTATTCTGAAAACAACATAAATACAGGAAAAACATCAGTCAACTTGTAAGAATGTATGTTAATATGTAACTACATAGCACTTCAGAGAATCCCTTTACAAATCTAAAAGCAAAATTTTATATGTAATCTCATGCTTCTGTTGTCTCAGCACACTAAGTACATCTCAAGAAATCTTCAGGTTTGATAATCAAGCATAAGCAGCAAAATCTTTTTTTTCTTAAATAGTTTGAATGCCAACAGCAAAATGGTCTCAAAGGTCACTAAAGGAGAGTCTGCTAATGCCGGAGGTTCTTTCCTGATCTAGTTTTAAGTTGCTTTTGCTTGTGTTAGGCTACAAAACAAACAGATCTTTGGTGAAAAACAAACCACAGCAGAGTCTCACATGCATGAGCCAGATTCTAAAGTCTGACCAGCTTGCCCTGCAACAAAACAGGCACTTAGCTACAACATGAAAACTCTGAGCCATTGCTTTCATAGCTGTTACCTAAAAACAACTCACCTCTGCTGCTAGTGCTCAGGACTGACAGAACACAGGAGACCAGAGCCTGCCACCTATTTCTTGGAGCTTAATCCATCAACAACCACACTCCCAGTGGCTCAGGGCCTTACATTCAAATGGAAACGAAACTGGCAGTGCTACAATTTGGATCACAGAAATTTGAGGGTTTTTTCCAAGCTTGCTTTCACAAGTAGGGCAGAACTGGCTCAAACTGAAGTGGTATCTCCCCTCTTGAGCTAATCACCTAGTTTGAATTAACCAGAGATGGGAATCCTTTCAAATCACTTTTTGCAGAGCAGAGAGACTCAAACAAAATTACTTATGAAGACAGCCTTGAAAAGCCTTTAGAAAACAGTGTGCGCCTGAAGCTACACATGCTTTGCCTTGGCTTACACCATGTGAGTCCACTGAAGAGGAGGAAAACCTTCTTGACCTTTTACATAAGGATCAAATCAAAAAAACAACTACCTGAGACACTGACTAAGCTTAAAATGCAAAGATCAGTCTGCTTGTTAAGTGCACAGCGAAGAGAGCTCCAGCCACCTAATAACAGACTGATATAAAAATTAATTCACCTTACAAGTCAATCAGTACGCATTTAAATGGAGCAACTGAAGACTGACGATAGCTTGGAGAAGTAAAGGCTTTATTTGTACTGAATTAATTTTGGTGACGAAATTTTATTAAAGGTGAATTCAAAATACATAGACTAATAAGTTAACTTTTTTTTTTTAAATGGGAAAGGACTAAAGCTGGAGCGCTGTTTCTGAAGTCTATGGCAATTATTGCTTGCTCCATTTGAATTTAACAGATGTCAGCTCAGTCTAAGAACTCTCAGACTAAACTGGCATCTCCCAGCAGGAACCTGTTCCCCACGGGCAGCAACATCCCCCAGCAGAGACCTGGTGACTACCAGAACCCGCAAAGCTGTGTCACTCTGCCTCACCACTGCACTCCACATCTGCAAAGTGAGCAAGGACACCACACCCAACAAGGAGACCTCACACTTGTCCCACCAGAGCTCCAACAGAAGTGTTCTACAGAGCTGAAGGTAACAACACAGTTGATTCCTACTCCCTTACAGCACACAACTTGTTTTACTGCCAGTGATGGCCAGAGAGTGGCTACTGGGCTTTTGCCAATCTGACCTGTGATTAAAAATAAGGATTCCATTAACTCAGAAAGTTTGCAAAAGTGAAGGAAGATTTGGATGTTAAAGTCAAGAGTAGAAGAGACGTAACAGTCTAAAACTTGCTACCTGTTCTACAAGGCAACAGTGCGCTTGTAAGAGTCAAGGGCAAGAAGTATTTCAAGGAATGAATGGAGACAGACAATTTAAACAATAGCTACTTCGACTGCTGCCTCACACCGACTTAAAAATCTTAAATTGCATGAGTGTCCACAACCTTCTTCCAGCAATAAAAGTACAAACAGCTCAAGTTATCCTCTGAAGTTTGTACTGCTTTACAGTTAACGCACAATTTTAAAACCCCACTTTTAAATTCATCTGCAATTTTGAAAATCTGCTAGTTTTAATAATTTGTGCCATATGTATGCTGTGAACAAGTTACTGAGAAAAGTTCCTGTTTTATGGCCTGCTCTAATCCACCATTTTGAGGCAGACAGCACTGCAAAAGCACCTCTCCGAGCACTATCTGAAGAAGTATTTTGACCCAGATAAAGTACAGAAGCTTATCAAAACATCAGAAGACAAGTCTATATATGAAACTACAAAGAAGAGCCTTTATTAGGCTAAGATGCCTTGCTCACCAGCTATCAGGCTACTGGGGGAAGGATCAGCAGAGCAACAGATGAAAATGACTGCTCACAGGCCAGACTGTCTCCACCAGAAAATGGTAATTCCCAAGAACATATTTTCTCCCCAGTGCTTAAAAATATATTTCTCATTATGTGATTTTTAAAACGCTGTTCTAATCAGCACCACTTGCACACTTTGCGACAAACAAATCATCTGTGTAGCTAGCACTGACAGCACTGCCTCGAAACACCCTGATTAATAGACTGGACTACTATTTCTGGATTTTCAGCTTCCACCAAAATAGGTATCAATGATCTCATCTACAACTGGTGTATCACCATTTCCTGAATTAGTTAATTCAGTAGGCCAAACAGTTCATGGAACTTTCATTTGCATCATTATGATACAGTACTGTGCTCCAAAAGAGCACCTACGCTGCTTTGAGAGGGCCAGTCAATAAAAGTCTAAAATACTTTCAATCCTTAATCTGATTAAACAGCCCGCCCGATGCCTTAATGTCCTATTGGCACTGCCTGTCACCTCAGCGCATGACTGGGCAAGCGAGAGCAATGCTGGAGACAAGGTGGTAACAGATCCAGCTGAGCCTGCCCTGAGCACCTGGCCAGGGGACATTAACCTCGTTGACAGCACACCCCCCAGGAGGTCCCCAACCTGCTGGCGACTCCCAGCCAGGCAGTGCCTGAGCTCCACTGTACCATCTTGGGTTTTGGATGGGTACCAGACCTACCCTCAACTCAAACAGGGACCCAGGGAACTCCCCATCCTTTCTGGAAGCTCTACATAACAATGCCGCACGGCAGCCCAAGAATTAATCTGAGTTGTAACCAAAGTAATGCCCCGTACTAGCATGGCAACACAAAATGGCCCAGGGAAGGGCAAGGTTTAAAATCCACTGAAATGTCTTCTCTAAAATGCTAGTTTGCAAGGTGGTGAAGACATTCCAGTAGACAGACAGACATCAGCCGTGAGGTCAAATTATTTCATTCAGAGTTGGTGCGAGTTTTTTAGAAGACATCCCATCATGGCATTATGAAAACTGTCAAGTGCACTGAGCTCAAGCAAGTTCTGAGTTCAAGAGACCTAAAACTATTCATCTAAGACCAGCTCAGAATCACATTTTCAGTTTTATATTTTTTGTATTTTGACTGATAAGCAGAATAGCACATTCTGCAAGTGTGAGGAGTCAGAATGCTACAGGTCAGGAAAGAGCACTCAAGAAACTCCAGTTCAGGAGTTTGCAGTTTTTCCACAACATTGTGAGAACACCTGTTACAAAAGACAGGTCAAGAAATTGAGATCAAATTAAAAGGAGGCAAGTTTAAATGCATCATTCTGGAGTACAGGCTTTCTGAAGGGAATTCTGCCTTTATAGAACATGTCTCTAGAGTAAGGATGGAAGAGGACACCCCCTCACCTTTAAAACAGGTCCCAACTATCCCAACCATCCTTTTTGCCTTCACAGCATCTTAAAAAGTGTCCATCACATTTTTTTTTCCCCCCTATTGATATTTAAAATCCTGTTTACTTTTAGCTTTACTAGCACTGCTTCTGTTACTCAATTCCCATTATGAAAAGTACCAGTTACTGGACCGTAAAAGGTCAGAGTACTCAGAAAAATCTGAACAAGTAGACCACCTTCATTCAAGGTTTACTTTGTTCTTTCCAAGACCATTTCAACATTCACTCAGGACTGCTGTGCAGACCAAGTTATAAAAAACCAATACTTTATGTCCACACGTAAGAATTCCAAACATCTCACTTAGGCAGAATATCCTGGTCTAGGTTTTCCCTTTATCTTCTGAAGGTGAGTTTAAGTATCTACATCTGATTAATAAAAACTAAAATTCACAGTTATGCTGGCATATGTATCTACTGCACTGTGAAATGTATTCTCTAGCTTTGCTCTGAAAACCACTGGGGAATTTTTGTGTTTTCACATGGAAAACACCCCTACAAAAACTTCAGTAAGCATGTGTGTCACTAATATATAAAATTTTATACTAATTTCACTAAGCTCAAAGCGCAGCACAACCTACCTAGAGGAGCATCTCATCCCTGTTAAACAGGAGTGATGCTCTTTAAAGTATAAAAGATACTCCTTTAACTTCACCTTTAGGCAACACTACATTTAACAGAACCTAGGGAAGCTGGTATTTTTTCTTCCCTGGATTCTGATAATGTATGAAAGCAAAGCAATACACTTGGGAAAACTAGTATTATGTATATGAGTAACACTTTATGGGGTAATGTATTTATGATCATCCATTTTTCTTCTAAAACTTTGCTTTCTGCTTCTCACCTGCTCTAACAGAATCCACATATCTGGCCTACTTCAAAACTTTTTTTTCTTCTGGTGATACTAATGGGGCTCCATCACAGTTTATTACCATCCAGCACTGGGGTTTGAAGGCTCTGCTTTACCCTGACCCAACTATTACGGGGATGCTGTCAGCCAGCTGGCCACTCAGCCTGTTACCATTTGCGAAGCTGAAAGTACATTAGCAACTGAAGACAAAATTCAGAGATCCTTCCGCAGCAAAGCCCTTAAAACAAAAATTTTTCAAAAGCTTTTGACAATTTTATTCAATACCACTAGAAAAATTCAAGGCTTCTGAAACGTAACTCTACCTACATTTCTCATGCCATCCAGTGGCACCCCTAAGACACCTAACAGGGTGCTGCTAAATCTCTTCACAGGCATCCTCCTGAAAATAGTTTAAATATCT